TACGTTTATATAAGAAAGAGGTGTTTTTACTGTTATAATCAAGGTTTTATGTTTGTGGGAAGATTGGAAATTTTAAAAAATATGATAACAAGATTAACTATCTAATATAGTTTTTATACTTTTATATTTGAAAGAGGAGATTTACTGTTATAATCAGGAACAAGGATGAGAAATTTGGGTTTATTTATTTTAGTGCTTCAATTGCTTGGAAGAATTGCTTCAAATGCGAGGATATAATTATGTATGAAGTAGTTGTTTGCAGACAGTTTAATTTGTTCCGTCGAAAGGAACAAGGATGAGAAATTTGGGTTTATTTATTTTAGTGCTTCAATTGCTTGGAAGAATTGCTTCAAATGCGAGGATATAATTATGTATGAAGTAGTTGTTTGCAGACAGTTTAATTTGTTCCGTCGAAAGGTGTATCTTTAGTGCTTTAACGACTAGATTTCAAGTCCTAAATCAATAGATTTTTTTTTCCGGATTCGATGGTGAGCTAAGTGGTGGTTAGTACTTCGTATATTATAGCTAGAATGATCTGTAGGATTTCATTCCGTTGCTGCTTTTTCCATTAGGGTTTAATTTAGTGGGTGAATTGATCCAAGATGGAAATTGAATAGATGCCTAAAAGGATGTGATTGGCAAGCTTATCTTTTTCAATTGTGGACTTGTATGGTTGTTGTGACTTAAGGGCTTTGGTTTTATAGGTAATGTCCATCGATGTTATTTTAATTTGTAATTTGGGGATTTTCAGAGAATTTTGGTGGTGCTGTAGTGGAGATGTTAATTGCTAGATTTTAAATGCTTTTCTTTGTAACATTTTCATAGTGACCTACTTGGCTATTATTGCACCGTAAATGTTAATCAACTATGCTGAAGTTGTTTTTTTTGAAAGCCAATAAGGATTTTGGTACCGCTGCATCTAATTTCATTATTTATCCTCTGTAGTGAGCTTCGGAGTGTTGTAAAGTGTAATCATGTTTGGGCGAGCTCCGAAGAAAAGCAATAACACCAAATACTATGAACTTCTTGGTGTGTCAAAAGAAGCCAGTCAAGATGAACTCAGGAAGGCATACAGAAAAGCTGCGATAAAAAATCACCCGGATAAAGGTGGAGATCCAGAGAAGGTAAATTACTTGTGGTTTTCTTACAAGGTTGCTATTTAGTACTAATATCTTTTATGGATATTTGTTTTTTCCAAACCTCTTTGTGATTCTGGATAATATGTCCTAAATCTATAGGCTTTTTTTGGTTCTTGGCTTGTTAGTTTTTTGTTGCTTTCCTGCAGTAATCAATCTGTGATGGTTACTAATGTGAGAACTGCTATGCCGATCTAGGATATCTTATTCTTATGCAGTTGTAGTAGTTCGATTACTTAAAACTGAGTTAAAAGCTATCTAAATATAATACTCTTGGAGGGTAGTGCCTCTGTAGTGTTATTTTTTTGTGGGAAAAAATTATTGAGAATGCTTAGGTTTCGATTCATAACCTAAAGTTTGAGGGCTTGTTTTGACTTTACCATGTATTTTCCATTCATATCAACACCTAATTGACAAAGATTACAGTCGTTGAAGGGATTAGAATATTTATATATGCAATACGCCCTTTATGGAGTATTGGGCCTTATGTATGGGTAAAGTTTGATGGTTAAGAAACTTTGGGAACTTTGCATATTTTGAGAGATTATTAAGGTCAATAGTGTAGGATCTAAATCGTGGAGGAGCTCAAGATGATACATATTTTTTCATCTCTCTGTCTCTTTTGCATTCTTATTTTGGGATGACCTCTTAGGTGTCAATATCATACTCTCATTTGTCAACTTTTACTTAGTAGATTTCCTTTTTATGAGTTTTCTTGATTAAATTGTTCTAATAATATTTACCCCTTCCTGTCTTTTCTTACATCTGGTTACTCCTGTATCAGTTCAAGGAAGTGGCTCAAGCTTATGAAGTTCTTAATGATCCAGAGAAGAGAGACCTTTATGACCAATATGGGGAAGATGCTCTTAAGGAAGGAATGGGTGGTGGCGGTCATTCTCATAACCCATTCGATATCTTTGAACAATTATTTAATCCTTCAGGTTTTGGAGGTGAGTAGTTGTTGATTTTTTTTAGCATACTGTATTTATGTCGCAAAGCCCCTCCAAAATAAAGGGGAAAATAGGATTACATGAAACTTGTGATGATGATTCTGTCATATGCTTGTCATAGGTGGTGGTAGCAGTTCAAGATTTAGAAGGCAACAGCAAGGTGAAGATGTGATTCAAACTTTGAAGGTTTCCTTGGAGGACTTATACAATGGGACCTCAAAGAAACTATCATTTTCTAGGAATATTCTGTGTCCTAAATGTAAAGGGTATGGTGCTTATCTTCTTATCAAATATTTACTATCAAACAGGTTTGGATTCCTGGGATGAAATCAAAATGTGACATCTCAGGGTAAAATTTAATTTGTTCAGCTGAAAGTCCTAAGTCCTATTGTTATGGTTAAGGCTATATATCTTGATTTATCCTTCTGTAGGATCCGCATAGCGTGTTGGTGAAATGAAAGTCCTATCGGCTCTTTTACCCCATTTTAACCCCCATTTTCTAGTGTTATTGTAGTCTAGTTTGATGGTGCGGTCTAGATCTTGGATATTATGGTTTGTGAAAAAAGGATATATGAACATTCTAAAATGTTTTACTTCCCTGTGATGATTAATGACCATGTCATTTTCTGAAACTTTCTCTTTGAAACATGCAAAATATCACGACATAATTCATCCTACTTTCATTTGCACTTGACATAAATCATCCTACTTTCAAATGCACGGGGAAAACTTCGTAGTTGAAAAGGCCAATTTGACTGCATAAAAATGTGTTCACTCTAAGATTGGTGGTCAAATGTTTACTGCAGTAGGTTTGAAATGTCAGCCTTATTTTTGTTGTTAAAGTACGCTGTACCTGGATGCGGTCTTGGTTTGCATACAATCATCATTTATATTTGTATTTCTTAGTAACCTCTTATACCAGTCATGAATCCTTTGACACTGTATAGCCTGCTCTTTTGTAGGTTTTACTCTGTTCATTAAGCTATGTAAAACTGTAAATTTTTTGTGTGCTAATTATTTCAATAATGGTTGCGGACTTGAGGTTAGAGTCAATAACTTAGTGTGTGAGATGGAGATTAATACATTGATGCAACACTAGTGTTATACCGGTTGTGAATTGGAGCTTATTTTTTCATCTCTTCTGATCTGGTATATTGCAGGAAAGGATCAAAGAGTGGGGCATCTAGTCGTTGTCATGGCTGTCAAGGTTCAGGTATAAAAGTTACTTCTAGACAAATTGGGCTTGGTATGATTCAGCAAATGCAGCATGTCTGTCCAGACTGTAGAGGTTCAGGTATTTGTTTCATCCTCTTGAAGATGTTTCGTTTATGTCCATACATGTCATTGGGCCCTCTTATATATCAATTATTATCATGTTGGTAATGCAGGGGAGGTAATCAGTCAAAAGGACAGATGCCCACAGTGCAAGGGCAACAAAGTTTCTCATGAGAAGAAGGTATTGGAGGTGCATGTGGAAAAAGGGATGAAGAATGGTCAGAGAATTGTATTCCAGGGACAAGCAGATGAGGCGGTAAGTGCTTGTATTTGGTAGTCAGGCCAACAAAGCAAAATACAGTATACTGGCATTCTTTCTAAAGTTTTTACTCTGTCCCAATGACTCCAAAAGAAGCCTAATGTTGTTTTGTGATCATTCTGATTTGGATAATTTGTAACAACTTCGATGTATAAAACTAAATCATTCGTTAACCTGATGATGCAGCCAGATACAGTCACTGGGGACATTGTCATTGTGTTGCAAGAAAAGGAACACCCTAGGTTCAAGAGGAAATTTGATGATCTCTATGTTGAACATAAGCTGAGTTTGACTGAGGCACTTTGCGGTTTCCAATTTGTTCTGACTCATCTCGATGGCAGACAGCTGTTGATAAAATCTAACCCTGGAGAGGTCATCAAGCCCGACCAATACAAGGCAATCAATGATGAGGGTATGCCACATCATGAGAGGCCCTTCATGAAGGGGCGATTATATGTCCACTTCACTGTGGAATTTCCCAATTCCTTACCCCTCGAACAGTCCCGAGCTTTGGAGAAAGTCTTACCATCAAATCCCAAGAAACAGATCTCGGACATGGAGCTGGATGAGTGTGAGGAGACCACACTACATGATGTTAACATGGAGGAGGAGATGAGACGCAAGCAGCATCAAAGACATCAGCAGGCATATGATGAAGACGACGATGAAGAAGATGATGATGAACCTCGAGTTAAGTGTGCGCAGCAGTAATGTGATTATGTGATGCTGTTATTACAGATTATTAAATGTTTCAGTAGGGACCTTTTCCCAGCCTTTTTGAGAATTGAAGCTTATATATCAATCTTGTTAAAATGTTGGGTGTTTTTGGAATTTGGGTGTGCCTATTTCGATGTGTATAGCTTCTACATACTTAGTTTACAATACAAGCTTGTAGTTGCTTCAGTAGAATCTGATATATGTATCCTTTGCTTGATATTATTACTCCATATCTCTTTTGTGCTTGCTTCAGTACACGGAATTTACCCAAGTTTTATTTTTTCTGCAATCTCCTTTGCCCCCCTATTTTTCTATGAGGCCGTTTTACAATAATTTGTGTAAAATTGATAGTCTTTAACCATTTTGAGTGTGACTTGTTATTTTCTGAAAGGAATCGCATAAGAAGTATACTCTTTTTGATCCGAAAGTACTAGAATTTGAGGCTTAAATTGTTTTTTAGGAGGTACATTAATGTTAAGCATAGTGTATGCCCAGACTTGATCAAACAGCATTGTAAGGTCAGTGTCATGCATCACTATCAATCCATTGATATATCAATGCTGTTATTGGGTTTTTCCTTTGATATATCAATGCTATTATTGACTGAAATTTCAAAATCTATTGAGCAAAAGTGGGAAGATAAAATTAACCAACCCAAACTGATTATATTGGTGAAAATAAATATTCATCCGCATTATTATTATTCAAAACTCACAAAATTACATTATATTCTAGCTATTCTACTGCCATATTCTTAAAAAACTCACTGTATCAATTTTAACTACCATGCATAGATTGCATACAAAAGTAACACTGTTGAATTCAAGATCATAGACTTCTAACTACTAAAAATAAAGCAAACAATATAAATTCAGACTTCTATAGCCTCAGAAGGGGGAACCACTTCCTTATTGACAAACTTTGGCTAACTTGTGTTAATAGGCCGATAAATCAAGATTAAAGCTGCAATTCTCAATCTCAGGTTCTTCACAATAAATTACTTCTTGTCCTAGGGCATGCAATGCCAAGCTTCAGCGGTCTAGATAAACATACATTCCAAGTCTTGCTACGCAAGACAGAATCAGCTCCAAAAACCTGCTCATTCCTACAGATCAAAGGGCCAAATGGGGGAAAAAAAGGTGAGACGACACATGATTTATCACAATAACACCTGCTTTTGTAATTAGCATGTTCTTCTACCATGAGATAATAAGCATGCAAAGGAATTTAACAAACACGAATCTTTACAAAGTTCCCATCAAGAACAGCATAAGTACGTAATTAAAAATTTGATCATGCATATATCAGTCACCCTGTAGCATTGTTGAAGAATTGAAGTGAAGAACAGCAAGAGGAAATCTAACAGTTCACTTTTCACAGGGAGCAGCTGTCGATATAATTTTTCTTAACCAAAACATTCTTGAAATAGGAAATGGAATGTTTTTACAGGTGCATCCAGCTTATTTATGAATACATCATAACCTTTTTCATGGCTGGACCTAAAACAATTTTTTGTCTTATTTGCAGATTTTTTTCAAGAAACTTGCAGGGCAGTCTTTGTAATCTTTGATGCAATGCACAGAAAGAAAAACACAAACTTTTTGAAAAAAAAGAAAAAGAATCACGAGTGAACGATAATTTTTTATTTTTTTTCTAAGAAAACCCATGATAGGGATTAGGGAACAAACATTGTTGTCAACATCGTATGGAGAAACTATCATTAGCATACAGTAATCTTTGCAATAAAAAAACTAGAAAAAGGTAAACAAAAGATACCTCTCCGGAATAATTTGCTCTCATCATACTACAACTCTTCTTTCTTCAAACTGCCACACGCATTACACTCCATGACATTAGTTGTGTTATTATAGTTAGAGGGTGGCAAAGGAGCCAAAGTGCCTCCACAATTTTCTTTGTCACACACAAATCTCACAAAAAAGTAAGCATGAGGAAAATCATCATCCCCATCGTGCTCAATCTCATTGTTCTCCCCATCTGACGGTAACATTTCCTCCTCTTGTTCCATCGTTTCATCCTCACCACCCTCATCCTCATCCTCGTCCTCATGGGACCATTTAGCTTCAATCTTGCATCGATCACAAAGACAAGAAAACCCGTAATCATCTAGCAACCTTTTCTGCCTTTGAGAATAACTTAGATTGACCGGGAAATAACTCAAACAAATTTCCCGGCCTTCAGGAACATCATGTATCATTCGAATGATCATATCAGTGTTTTCCTCAGTTCCACCATCAACATAGTCAAAACGACAGGCATTTGGCAGGCAATCGTGGTTAAAGAATGAAGCATTTCGATAAATAGCATATGCTCTCACCGATCTTTCTCCATGTTCTGAAAAAGGCTCCATGAGTCCAAAGGAATTACACCGGTCCTTGGACAATAGAGCCGCAGTAATTTCTACTGATGGAGCAGACAGACCCTTGGGAAAAGGTAGCGATGAGATAATGGAGTGTAGAAAAATAGCAGCATTAGAATCTCTCTCTGCACCCTGGGGCCCACCTCCATCAAGTGATATCAGAGTCTGAAAGGAGGAAGGAGAAACCATAGCAAGATTGAATGCAGCCACCAAATAACGAGCTTGGATCTGGCGATCCTCAGGCTGTTGGTCAACTAGTACAGGGCAATTTCTTAAATAACTAAGAGATTGGCAAACCCATGGTGTGTGTGAGAAGACTAGGGCCGAGGACTGGCATTTAGAGCTGCAAAAGATAGCATCGTCGGGATGACAACATGAAGGGCATGCCAATGTCCCATTTCCTGAGACCAAGAGCTTGTAGCAATGAGCACAATATCGAGAGTAAGCCCCTTGTCGTTGTTTCAGAGAAAAAGAGGAGTAGGTGAGGATGGGGGAGTCTCGGAGAACAATTTGTCCTCCTTTAAGCGGCTGAGATGCAACTAGACCCCTTCCCTTCCCTTCAATGTCCACCAACTTCAGAGCAGTTGATATGCCCCCATGATTTTCTGCTACAGCCATGACAAAGTAATACTGAAATTTCACTCCTGCAGAGAACAAAAAGTCTTTAGGTTATTATAGTAATTAGTGCTCTAGGCAAGCCATTGTTGCAGAGCTTACTCAAACTCGGCATCCAAGTATCAGACTTAGTTATTTATAAGAAAATATTCCTCATCTTTAACGAAATGTCAATTGTCATACCCATGTAAGAATTTTGAGGATCCAACACGGGCACTTAAAACGACGACCCTAACTATTCCACAGCCAATCTAAGTTGATTATTTTTTCGCAAAGTACAGCTTTAGTAAACCTATGAAACATTGTAAACTTACAGACGAACATTACCAACAATCGAACTGTCCAACTGACAATTGGACAAGACACATTGTAAACTTACAATTTATGGTCACCTTTTGTAAAATTTGAACCTAAAATAATTAGATAGACCAACAATTTTACTTATGCAAGGTTCAAAATTTTGCAACAATAAATCCAACAAGCATAATATTAAAAACCAATCCTGATCCCGGCGTCATATTTCGGAACCACTGTTAATAATTTCACATTCAACAAAACTTAACAGCCAAACTAGTACTCGATACTTGATTAAGCAACAAAATAAATTCAATTTACTCCCAAGACTACAAGTACTTTTTTAATCTTCATATTTTACATTCATATGACATCAAATTAACAATAGAAAAAAGGGTCAATTCTAAAATTGTTATGGTAAAAAATAACAAATTGAACATGAACAAACGAAATATATAGCATGAACATTTACTGAAATTAAATTGACAAATCACTTGTGATTAGTTTGTGACTTTGAAAGAGAGAAAGTATCACCTTTGTTGAGCCTGCAATTCCAGTAGTGCAAGTGACTGCGTTTTTCAATCAGAGGAGAGAGAGAAAGAGAGGGATTAGGGGAGAGATGGGGTTTAAGGTTAGTTGAGCACAGAGATTGGTGCGGCGAAGTGTTCCAAAGTAACAACTAACACTAAAACAACTTAAGTACAAGTCTTCTTGAGTTAACAAAACTGTTTGCAATTACAACTGTCTAGGGGACTTTATAAGCCCACCATGTGGGTTGGTGGCAAAACATGTCGTTCGCCGTTCGAGTTAGGTTTGGTTCGGGTCTATTTAATCTAGGTGAGATCAAACATTTTTCAATAATCTATTGAAATTGATTGTTTTGATTTGGGTCCAGATTTTGAATAATGAAGCTTTATGAGCCGGCCCCCATTGATCTTCATGATCAATATAGCAAAGCAATCAATATGGCAGAATTGTAAATATATTGAACAGTAACATGAACAGTAGCCATATGTTATTACCATTTTACCCCAGTTTTAATGATGGAAAAGACATTTTCACCCTTACCAAACATATGCTATTACCATTTTGCCCCAAGTTTAATGATGGAAAAGACACTTTTGCCCCAGGTTTAATGATGGAAAAGACACTTTTGCCCCAAATTTAATGATGGAAAAGACACTTTTACCCCCTTGATTGACAAAGTAAATTGATCATGAAGATCAACAAGTAATTTGCGAAGCTTTATGCTCAAATTTAGTACAATTCTAGTCAATCAAATTGTGTTATAATATTTCCTTTCAAAAAAAAGGTGTGTTATATAGTTATATATGTGTTATAATGGTAGTGAAAAGTTCATCAATATTCCGTATAGTATGGAGTAGTATTTATTTTTCAAATAAATGAAACATAAGTGACACTATGACATAACTATACATGAATTATCAAATTTTTAAAGGGCTAGTTAGGTTATTGAATTAATTTTTAGCTGACTTATTCCAGACAAATCAATTCAATTTATCGGACTTTAACTAAGACCTAACTATATTCAATTTAAAACCACTATGGGTCCATGGGCACTTCGGGATGAATTTTTTTTTTTCTAGTTCTTACCCTTTTTCTACTCCTAAATTGTCTAATTTGTATCGGGTTGACCTATAAAAAATTCCAACCCAATAAGACCTACCATCTTACATACTACTCCATAACATCTTTTTATACGGTTCAAATCAAGTTAGGTTACTTTATACTTGAGGTGGAAATAAATTTATCTCGTTTCGAGTTCGGTTCAAATTTGGGTTCATATGTTTCGGGGTGGGGTGATGTTTGTCATCTAAAGGCTCTAAAATCTTGAGCCCACCTTGGTTCCAAATACATCAACACCAAAAATCACTCATCATCTCCTCCTCCTCCTCTCTCTCACATCTGGGCTAGCTCAACTCCATTGTCAAATACTACTATTCTGTTAAGTAAGAAAGCTTAATTCTTTGTCCCATATCTTTAAATATCTGTAAAATTAAACAAACCCCATTTCAATTTCTTTCCCCAATCATAAAAAAATAGGTATAATTTTGTGATTTTCTTTGATCATAATCAAATCGTGGGCAAAATTGTTTAGGTTTTCAGGAGAGAGAAAATGCAGTTTTTTGGAACAACAGAGATAAACCCATCACCACCGGCGGTAACAGCGTCAGGAAACAATGCACACATGATGTACATTTTCAATAGAAATGGGGTTTGTTTGCTTTACAGAGAATGGAATCGTTCACTTCATACTTTGGATGCTCAGCAAGATCAGAAGCTCATGTTTGGTCTCCTTTTTTCCCTCAAATCTCTCACTGCTAAAATGGATCCTGTTAGGTGAAATTTTACCCCTTTTTTGGAATTTTATTTCTAGGTTTTAAGGAATTTTTGTTGAATTTTTTGATAATTTGGTGTTCATTTGATTGATTAGAGAACTACCCAGAAGCTAAATTATGTATAATTGTTAAATAATTGTTGATTTTATTACTTGGTGAATGTGAAGTCAAACTATTTTTTTGTTATGGTAGAAGACTTGTTTGATTATAGTAATGTGATCTTGTAAGTATTGTGGAGAATGTTAACCTGAAAAATTATTCGAATTGCCGATTTTCAATGTTAAATTCTTAATAATTTTTTTGTTGCATTTTGATTGATGGGACTATGCTGTGTGTGGGATTATTGATGCTTGAAATTTTGTGATCTTTGAACAGTGCCGATAAGGTTAACCTTGGGGTGCCTCAATTGCCTGGCCAGGGGTGTTCTTTTCACAGCTTCCGCACCAATACATACAAACTTAGTTTCATGGAAACTCCATCAGGAATAAAGGTATTTATAGTGCTTTTGCTTGCAATTTTGGAGTACATAATTTGTTTGTATTTTCTTTGAAGTATATTTTTTTAATGTTAGCTGGTTGATCTTTGTTGCAATATTTGTTTTTTACATTGTTGTACAAATTTCATCATATTTTGTTCATATGTAGGCAATATAGCTCCATTCATGCTTGGCATAGTCCGTAGATAGCTTTTGATACCATTAGCTTGAGAGGTTTTTTGGCTGCTTAATAGGTTGACGGTTATAATTATTTGGAGCAGAACTCAAATTTAGTATTGTCAATCGGCTACTTATTTTTTTTTTTTTTTTTTAAAAAAAACTCAAAATCCTCCAGTGTTCTGCTCTTATAACGAGTCAACATCCCCCATTGTCAATGCAGTCGGATAATGCTGTACCCATGCAGATTGACTATATAAGTTTATGTAACTGTTTACTTTCTTGACCTCCTTGGAGATACTGTTTGTTACATACATATGAAGTTATTAGTCGTTTTCTTTTTAGGACAGTTAGCATATATAGAAGTTTTGATTCAAATATGGCCAAGAAGAGTATGGGATCTGATTTTCTGAATTTAAAATGATAATGAAAATAGAAGCCGGAATCACAGATCATCAAATGTACAAGTAGTGATTGTGATCGGAAACTTTTCATTGCTGCTAGTTGTTATGGTTTTAAGAAGTATAGTCCATTAACTGTGTTTGGTTTGATCAGAAGTCCGAACTGCAGTTGTATATATCTTACTTTCAAAGAGTAAAATTGTAAATGCAAACCGAAGGATATATTGGCTATCAACCCCTAGAAGTTGTTTTCTGTGCTTAAACACCATCTTTGATCTTAAATTATATCATCTTGCAACTTTTCTTTGGTCGTAGCTTTTTCTAAGGGTAGTGTTTGTTCCTTGCTCTTTCAAATTTCCTTTCACATTATTCTTCTATTTTTACATATCATTACCCTAGCTCTACTCAAGAGGCTTCTGCCTATGGTGGATAGAGAGAGTAGGGTCAAACGGTTGAAACAATATCCATGCTACTTTGGAACTGTTATTTCCATGATCCTTTGATTAGAATTATCCATGCTACTTTGGAACTGTTATTTCCATGATCCTTTGATTAGAATGTCATAGATAGGTTTGCTTCATGACAATAAATAAAAAGTCAAGGTCAATATAAATTGGCATTTGATTGAAGCTTTTCTATATTGATCTTTTTGTTTAGATTAGATCATTTGTACTTGATTTTGAGGACCTCTACCTATATATATTTGTAGTTTAGGGTGTTGTATATCTGAAGCATAAGTGTGTTGCAATAATTGATTCTGTTTCGATGTAATATATCGTGATTCTAGTATTGGTACTGATTTTTGCTCTTTATATCTATATGTGGGCAGCTTATCTTGGTCACTCACCCTAGGACTGGTGATCTACGAGAATCATTGAAGTATATTTACAACTTGTATGTTGAATATGTTGTCAAGAATCCACTTTATACTCCTGGAACTCCAATCAAGTGAGTGATATACATTTTAAATACATTACAGATAGAGTTATGTATCTGACTTGTCTGTGAATAATTTTATCTGCATATCCACCATGTAATGAACTAGATAATCTGTTAACTCACGCAGATAACAGGAAAATGGAGAGGAAAAGATTGATTCTTTTCAGTGAACTATATAAACTGATTTTTGTAATTGATTAAATATGAAGAACTATTAAAGATGGAAGCTTTAATATTGATTGATAATGGTGGAATGGTTACTAAATAATAGGGTTAATAGCTTTAGGCTGTCACTCTCAAAATAGCTTGAGGGTATCACTCTCTAACAATGGCTTGAGGCCACAACTCTCTAAGTTTTCCAATACAAAATTCTGCCTATCTTTTCCTTTCCCCCTTCTCTCTATTTATACTAAAGCTAAAGGCTCTAACCTAATAATACTACACTACCAATATTGCCCCTCCTTAGGTTAGTCTATTACACACCACTTTATTCTAATTTTATGATTCACTTTATTTCTTGACCAATGATTTCTCTGCAGTTTTCAGACTTTTCCTTGAATAATTTAGCTGCATTGTGATTATACAACGGCTTGTTTGATATGTCTAGATTGGTTTCACTGATACTTAATTAGCAATGTTTGGTAATTGATGTCTACAAATGTGTTTAAAATTGATAATGAAGAAGCTTTACCCTGTTAAAGACCTTAATTAGGCCTTGTTCCTCCTCTAACCTTCTCCCCTTTTTTGTCTTTAAGAGGTACTTTAGGCTTTCAGACATGTTGATCTTAGGATAAGGCATAAAATCATGCCGTACTTGAAAATGAAATTTTAGTGATTTTGTTTCTAGAAGAGAGCAGATAGCCAAAGAGGAAGATTTGGAAATTGGAATCGTTTCCTTTCAAGTCTTTTCCAGAAATACAGGAGTTGGTAGAGAGCGGATATTATAAAAGATGCTCGTCTCTCTCTCTCTCTCTCTCTCTCTCTCTTTATTTTTGTAATGGTCTTTTGGGACACAAGTAGTAGTATTGATCCAACAGCACATCAGAAACAGGGCCTTCTGAACAGATATCTAGTCCTGTAATTTATGCTTTTGCGTATGAACTTGAAACCTCCACCAGTCTACTCTCCTTGAGCCATACATAGTTTGTGGGGGACTTGGAGCAAACCACAGAGTAAGTAGAAAGATCAGTCCATTTAGGACGACATAAAATGGGTGGACATGAGTTGTCTAGTGCGTGAGCGATTGATTATGCAACTTTTATTCTAAAGCTTTTATGTTCATAGTCTCTTTATATACACTAGGAATGGCAACGGATTGGATTCGGGTCGGATGCGGTTAAATCCAAATCTGTTCTGTTTAGTAAACGAGCCCTAGATTCGGATCCGAGTCCGAATCCGAAAAATCCGAGTCCGAGTCCGATCCGACTCGTAATTTTTGGATCTGAATCTGGTCCGTTAATTCGGACCTCCGAATACTTTTTTTTTTTTTTTGGTAATGTATGATATTCCTATAATTGTTTATATTGTCCTTAATAAATATCATATTGGTGCGTAAAAAATTAGAAAAAACATAAGGTATAAAGTCTAAACATAACATAATTAAATTATTAATACATAACAAAAATTTGCTACAAACAAGCATATCCTCATACTCGGACTTGGATCGGATCGGATTTGGTCGGAATTTGCGCAATGTCCAAGTCCGATCCACCTCCTATTCGGATTCGGATACGGACTAATTTAAACGGATTCGGATCGGATTTTTTTTTTCTTCAGATCGGGTCGGATTTGAATCGAACTCAGATTGAATTGCCATCCCTAATGTACACCTATTAAATACGGAACATTTTTTTTTTTTTTTTCCTGTGCAACAGTTCTGTGAAGCTGAATGGTATGCTGTTAAAGTTTTGGTCCAATCTGGAACTCATGGCTTATCTTGTTCTGTCTTAGAAACCTTAATATTTGCTTGTATACTTTAGTAACCTCATAAGTGAAAAGGTCATAGATCAAGTCAGTACTTTGTATGTGGAAGAATTTGCTAGCTTGATTAACAACTTGTGCTAGACGTCAGTGTGGAGATGTAAACTATTTAAATTTTGGGTTGAAATGAACCTCAAATTTACAGTTCCTATAAGGTATAGGGCATAGAGGTATAATCCCCTCCACACAATTAATTTACATTACTGAAGCTGATAATTTCCTATTTAATTAAAAGAGTTTTGTTGCTTAGTATTGGCTAAGGATAGGGATCTGCTGTTTTTTGCTGGGTCTCCCGATGGCATGCCCAACCATGTTTGTAAACACAATTTTTTGTATGCGGCCTGCTGCGGCAGGGGTTACTCGAGTTTCTCGGTCGGGGGTACTTGAGTTGACGGGGTTATTCAAGATACTCGATCAGGGGTTACTTGAGTTACTCCTGACCGAGTAACCACTCAAGTAACCCGTGACCGAGTAACCCCTCGAGTAATCCATGACCGAATCCCTCGAATAACCCTTGACCGAGTAACCCCTCAAGTAACCCCTAACTGAACCATCAAGTAACCCCTGGTCGTGGCCGAGTAAATCCCTCGAATTACTCGAGTAACCCCTGACCGAACTCCTTAAATAACTCTTAATCGAGTAACTCGAGTAATTCCTGACTGAGTAACTCGAGTAACCCATGACCGAGTAACCCCTCGAGTAACCCATGACCGAGTAACCCCTCGAGTAACCCCTAACCGAGTAACTTGAGTAACCCCTCGAGTAACCCCTAATCGAGTAACTTGAGTAACCCCTCGAGTAACCCCTGTCCGAACCCCTCAAGTAACCCCTGAATGAGTAATTCGAGTAACCCCTGACTAAGTAACTTGGGTAACCCCTAACAAAATAACTCGGGTAACCCTGCCACACGGTGTGGCCTGCTGCTCCAAAAAGTTGCTGGTTTGTAAACATTTACATAGTGTTTTACGACTGGAGTGTTGGAAGCCATTTAAAGTCCGTCTTCTTATGCCAAATGTCTTGATTCTTTAGCTCTTTTTGGGTCCTTTGCCTTTTGAAATAAATAAAGAATGTAAGAGTCACAAAACTCTAACCAACCACCTTATCTTTCCTCAAGCTTGACCAGAGATGCTATAATGTATTCTCTCTTCTTAGGTCTTTCCCAGTAGGTTCTTATGTTTAATACTTTGAGCTATGTATGCATGCCAATTCATCGCATGTCTGTTCATCCCTTTTTAGTGGATTGTGCAATCGCATCCACTGCTCCAAGAGTTATTCAATTTAATAAAAAGCTTAAGCTATGATATTAGGACTCAAATAAGAGTTTCAAACTTGGATATGACCTATGAACCTGACATGGATAATTCTAAACTGGAAGATGTGAGGACACTGAGTATCCTAAGTTTTGATTGGGACACAAGATTAAGGATATTTTCCTATATAGTGTAATATAAAAGGGAAATTGCTATAAATTTTTCCCTTTTTGGACAAATTTGAAATGTCTCAGTGTCCCATTTGAAGTGTCAGTTATCCAACATGGATGCTTGAGTTTAACTGAAGAGTTTGAGCATCATAGGCTTGAAGAATGGTACTGACACAGTGACACCTCTTTCTCTTTCTGGAACCTGAAAATTTGTAAAATGGAAATTGGGATAAACCATGAATAATGTACTAGTTTCATATCCTCTTCAATAGCTGTAATAGAGGAATTAATTCGTCCTCGGGCAGCTGATAGTGTTGGCACCATCAACTTTGATGGGGTTGTAGAAAGATTCTCTAGGTTTGTTGATATGTGCCACAAACGAAATATGAATGTATAGCACAGGCTCGATGTATTCTTTGATGATTTTATTCTTTCATCAAAGCGTTAATTTATGGTTTTTATCCTCTGCCTTGGTCACTTTTTAGCCTTCATTAACCTAGTGCTATGGTTTAGTATAAATTGTGACTTACCCTTTCATATATTGAATTTTTTGTGTTTTGAGTGTAGTTTATGCCTTTATATACCCCTCAAATTTCTCTTTATCTTCATAATTAAGTTTGCATTTGTCAAAATGACTTTTTTTCGCTACTCATCATGCAAACATGTCACCTCAATTTCTTAGGTACGAGCTGTTCAACTCTACTCTAGACCAATATGTTCGAGGCCTGGGTTGATGTCCAGAAGTCAGCTGAATCAGAATTCACATCTAATGCACCATCTGAATATGTACTTGCTTCTTTTACGACATGAAGTGACCTGGCAAACAATTTCCAAGTGTGAATTCGTTATCTTTGTGTTCTGCAAAATATTAATGTGAAAGTGAGCAAGAAAATTTATGGTGGAACAAGTAGAGTCGCTCTTTGTGCTTGTATATTGTCAGATTCTCATATATGTTGGGCTTCCAACAGAAATTTGTAATGCTGTTTGGTTAAATTTGCAATAGTGTCTGTTCAGATATTGCTGATATAATAGATGTGTTTTGGTTACTGGTAAATGGTAACTGATAAGCACATCGTGATGCAGATAGCAGAGTCTTTATTTACAAGAATTTGATAGATATTATTCAAAGATGCAAATGACATTTATGTAATATACATGCACGATGAATGTACGGAATATTACACTATGAATATGAGAAACACATCTTACATAAATGCCTGCTTTGACAGTTATCTGTTCAATGTTTCACTCGACTTGTTGATCATCTTGTAGTGTTAGTTGTTCGTATTGCCATTCAAGTCAACCGGAGATCGACTTTCTCTACCAGGCCTAACCATAGATAAGGCAGCAACCGTACAGAAGAGGAGCTAGGCTGCTACTTCCACGTTGTCCACAAGAATTAGACTTGAGTGATTCACCTATATCTAATTGATTGTTTGCAACATCCATATGCAATACAACTTTTCCCTACTTTTGTCTCTTTTGTTGATACCGTCCTCCTTAGCTTGTACACCGCTCTCAGTATCTCACCAGCTTTAAACTTCAACTAGGCATGGAGTTCGCCGACACATACTATACTATTTCCAAACATCGTCCTGATGGATGTGTCAAAGCCTGTTTCCCAGACTTGAAGTCCACGCAAATAAATGCGTGGATCTCTTTTGCTATAACCCGTATTAGCCTTAAGGAGCTTGATCTCCAAATTCGTATAAGGGAACCGGGTGAGCTGCCACCAGCTATCTTCATGTGTGAAACATTGGAGGTGCTCAAGATTGATGTCAACCTTGGCCTTGACCAAGCTTCCACTATGCCATCCTTTCGTCTTCCAGACTTGAAATTACTATACCTCTTTGGCACTATCATTAACGATCATGGCTTTCTGCCAAGGTTAATTTCAAGCTGCCCTTTACTTGAAGACCTCAGAGTGGAAGTATTTTGGACCCTAAACATTTCTTCGCTTTCTCTTCGGAGGTTGTGTTTCATCTTGATCGTACATATAAAAACACTGTTTTTCTGCTTATTGATACTCCTAATTTGGAGTATCTTCATTATAGTGGTAGTTTACCAATACAGCACTCTATTACAAACATGGATCATCTGGTTGAAGCAGAACTAACAATTGGGAGTTTCATGAGGGTCCTTGGTCCGACGACACATCCTCTTCAAATAATGCTTAGCCTTATCAAAGTCTTCAATAACGTTCAGTATTTATCTTTGGACGTCATTTGTACACAGGTTTGTTTAAATTTCTAGTTGCTCCTGGATTTTTTGTTTATTTATATACTCCCTTTGTTTCTTCTTTTGTCTCATTTGGAATCTTGCACAAGATCCCTCATGTCTGTTTAATGTACTACGTATTTCATGTTATGTAATGTGAAATTGACTGATTGCACCTTTGGTTGAAGCAATTCGAGTTTCGTGGTGTAGAGGATAAACTGCCAGTGTTTGATAATTTGAAATATCTGGAGCTGGGTTATTTTTATAACTCTTGGGATAATGTAGTGTTGGCATTTCTAAATCATTCACCGGTGTTAGAAACACTTGTTTTTCCTGGGGTTAGTCTGTGACTTACTTTACTTTGGTATTAATTTTGCGTACATAAAATAAATTCAATTCAAATAATGGTGTGACGATTGCGATCAACTTTGCAGGGATTAAATGGATGCTGTATAGGCTGCTGTATGTATGAAGTCGTGCCTTGTACTTGTGGCAAGAGGACACTCGAGGAACAAGAGTTTTTCAAGAGTTTCTCATCTTAAAAGAATTGAGATTGATGAGTACTATGGGAAGGAGCTGGAAGACATGCTTTGGTGTTGGAGGAATTGGTCTTAAGGAAGGGGTACCAAAAAGTTCCAGTAGCAGATGAATGACGCTCGCAAGCGCATTGCAGAATTTACCAAGGGCCTCGGCTACATGTTCAATTGAGTTCAGAATCAGAAAACAGCCTCACGAAAGGTTCAGAGTATGGTGGAGAGCAGGATGTTAGTGGGGCGGGTCAAAAAGAGACCCGCCCCATCTCGAGAATGCATTATTTCTTTTTATTTCATGATAAAGATCTCATAATTCTTACTTTTACTCTATAAATATTACGATATACGAGTATCTTTTATGAGTAAAAGGTATCGTTTATGTATTTTAGAGAGACACCAAACTTCTCAAGAGTTGACTTATCTAATAAAGATAACCATTAAAACCGTTACTTATTTAATACAATCAATCAAATTGAACATTTTAGATGTACACCGAAACTCTCGAGAGTTGATCTGATTTGTATGATTCTAAACAATTGACCACATTATATTAAGGAGGGAATGTTTACTCTCCGCCAAATATCACTAGTGTAGGCGATAAATCCTCAACCAAACAAGCAACCGAAAAAATACTTCATGGCAAAGATGGTTCATGCATTTAAATTAGATTGTTCATAGTAGTTTACATAACATAATTAGGTCATGCAAGACGACTTTCGAAATAGAAGTAGTTCATAGTAGTTTCGATGTAACAAGTACATCTATCAAACTCCTATGTCCTATTTATTAACATGCAATATTAGTTGAAGATTAGTTGGCAATGGCGATACGTTCATTGTCTTGGCGCATACACTTGAACTCTTCGAGCTTTCTGGTTTGGGTCCATGACTGATCAAAAACTTTAGCAAAATACTTGTTCATCAAGCAACCATTAGCCGCCTCAAGTTCAATGTAGTACATCATACCAGCAACCACTTGTTGTTCTGCCTTCAGAACTTTCTCATACTCAAGGCATGTCCCCTGCAAATTACACACATATGAGATACATATGTTGATAAAAACAATTCATCCCTCAATTCACCTGAAGATGTCGACTATGTTTGTTTTTATATATATATATATATTTTTTTTTTATATAGAAGTGCCAACATCGATCTCTTACAAATCAACCCATCTCAACTAAAGGAATTCCCCGAGTCTCAAACATATAAGCAGAAAATAGTCGGGGTTTGAATAAGTTACAACTTACAAGGTGAGTTTCCCACTGTACAAGATACATAAGTCTAACAACAAAGGCTTCAATTTACGAGGCCTAATCATCCATGGTTATTGACTTGAGCTTCAGAGACTCCATCTCGAGGACCCTACCAAGGCTTGGAGTTAACTATGTAGGTCACCTGGTGAGATGGCAATCTAACATCATCCTCTAAAAGTGTAGGCTACTCTTTTTTTTTTTTTCTTTTTTTTTTTTTTATATATTTTAAATTTGTATGTGAAACGTTTTTCCTAGAGACGCGTATGCCAATGCAAAACTTTGATTAATAATATTTAAAATTATAAATAAGTATAAATTATAACAATTGAGTATTAAAAAATTATTCATTGATCGAGATTGCATCAATTCTCATATATAAATTATAAACATTAGTCAAAGAGGATTACGTGAATAGTGCAAAAGGTCAAAATGTTTCACTATAAAAAATAGAGGGAGTACTGGTCATGATTAGTCGCATATAAGAAGTAAAAAAAGGAGAAAAAAAAAGCTTACTTGTTCTTTGTTGTGCTCCTCAACAGCCCAAGCAGCAATCTCTTGGATCTTTGGATTGGTTGGCTCAACAGGCTGAAGGCCTCCAAGATTCTTCGTCGGTTGAGCCGAGCAAATCGATCTCCGCCTCATTCTTCGTACGGTATATTATATGTGGTATATATGTGTATGTTGTTTGTGTGTGTGTTGCAGACTTGCAGTAGCAACCCTCTCAATATATAGGATAAGATTTGTAATCAAGTATCACATTTTTGCTCTATATTTCGAATCTTCTGCGTTAGTGGCCTAGTGACATATATTCTTGTCTAATTATACTGATTGATCATTTGATTGCGTAGCAATTTTTTATTTTTTATTTTTTTTATTTTATTCTTGTAGATATATTGCTCGTGAATACAATGCACTCATCAATTTGCACCATTAATGTCTGTTTTTGACTTTTTCACTACACTACCTTTCACTAAAGGTTTTCAACAATAGTTCATATTAACCGCTCCCAAATCTTTTTGATATATAATCTTGTTTTATACTCCTTATTAATGAACAGTAGTCCGACCCTACTCTGCCCCGATCAGAGGAAAAAAATCTGCTTCGAATTCGAAAAAAAAGTAATCTGAATCCGACTCCGTTAGAATAATATGACTCCGAGTCGGAGTCAAATCCTACAAAAAATCTGAGAAAAATATCCGACTCCGACATAGTCCGACTCCAACAGATTATCTGACTCCGACTCCGATGGATCGTGGATTTGGGTGTTGGTCGTGTTGTCGTGGTGGCAATGGGTGTGGGTTGCAAAGGCCTAAATAGCCCAATTTCTCAAAGTATATTGAATAACCAAAAAAAAAAAAAAACTCGGAGTCAAGCCAGAGTCGAAGGCCGGATATTGAATTTGGATTGGAGTCAGATGTCGGAGTCGGATTTAGCCTCCGAATTCCTGTAGGGTCGGAGTCAGATTTAGCATAATCCGCTCCGAGTCCGACCCGGCCCGTTCAGGCTTCAAACCGGTGCCAATTGTATTGAAAAAAAAAAGCGTGCCATGACCTTTTAGCACCAGCTAACTGGTGCCAAAGAGGGTATTTCGCACCGGTTAACCGGTGCTAAATCTTTGAATTGCCATCGGTTTTGAACCGGTGCGAAATCTTCGGAGTTTTGGCATCCCTCAAATCTGGACCGGTTCAAAGCGGTGCGCATAGGGGGGTTTGAATCGGTGCGAAAGACCTTTTTTCGCCTAGTGTACTTCAATTTCTTTATGTTTGTCTCATTTAAAACATTCAATTTCAATAATGAGAAAATTAAAGTTTGGCCACAACTAGTTCGGGGTTACTCGAGTTGCCGGGGTTACTTAAGTTACTTGGTCAGGGGTTACTTGAGTTAATCCTAATCGAGTAACCCCTCAAATAACCCCTGACCGAATAACCCCTCGAGTAATCTATGACCGAACCAGTAAATCCTGACCTAGTAACCCCTGACTGAGTATGTAATACCCCGTATTTTTGAAACGTATTTTCTAATTAATTAATTATTAATTTCTAAAAAGGGTATTTTAGTAATTTATTTTACTATTTGAATTTTGGATCCAAAATGATATTTGAATTTTGGCGCCAAAAGTATTTTAAAACTTAATTTTTATTTTTGGATTTTGGATAAGATTTATTATCCAATTATTTTATTTTAAAAACCGGATTATTTATATATATTTCAGATACTTTAATTAATCAAAAATTATATTTTAATTATTTAATTAATAGGTCCGAAAATTCCTAATGATTAGCTAGGGATTTTGGATTTTCCTAGTGTGGAAAATCTGATTTTCTTAGTTAATTTATTTAGTGAATAATTGGTATTCTCTTAATTAATTATTTTATACAATATATATTATTTACACAATCATTTTTAATCTCTTAAATCTAGCAAAATAATTTCCTAAATTCTACATAAGGGGTCCGAAAATTTGAGCTATGGAAGCTCAAAATTTTTGGCCTTCTTGGTTGATTTTTGGGTGATTTATTTTGGTAATTTGTATTTTTAATTATCTCCCCTGAATCTATTATTTTTCCTTAATTCTTATTTCCCATCTCCTACATATTTGATCATCTTATTTCCCTACCTTATATCATCCTTGATTATTCCCCAAGCAAAGCCATTTGCCATATTATTTTTCATGACAACATACTTTCCATAGATTAATTATTATTTCTTAGTCACCTTAATATTAAACTTTCCATAATTCTTTAACTCTCTTCTCCAAGTAATTTCCTTAATTCTTTTTTTCATAATTCTTCCTACATTCTCCTACCATAATTCTTGCATAAGCTAGCTTATAAATACCCCTTGATTCATAGCTAAACACTCAAACCAAATTCTCTAATTCTCTCTTAATCTCTCCTATTTTTCTCCTCTCTTTTTCTCTTGCTTTCACACGGCCACCACCACAAATCACCACCTCCACCCCCAGCTGCCACCAGCCGCCAATGCCGACCACAGCCGCCTTGCCGCCACCTTTCTTCTCCTTTTTCCTTGATTTTCTACCTATTTTAATTTTCTTCTCCTCTTCTCTTAATTAATTAATTAATTATTATTATTATAGGGGTTTTATAAAAATTATTATGAGTGTTTTTATTTAATAAAATCAGATTTTTATTCAAGTTTATGAAAAGTAATTTATAAGGTTCATGTACATATAGTTGGGGGGTTTTATTTTAATTGTTGTGATTATTTGTTAGCCTTATATTAATTAAGGTTATATTTATTTGTAGGGTGTGTTTGATCAAAGTTCTTGAAGCCCCTTTTTGTGTTGCTAGCAAGGATCAAAGGTACGTTTAGGTGGCTAGATACCTTTAAAATTGGTTGGATTGAATAAGCATGTTTTATATAATTTTTATGGTGATTGAATTAAATTGAATTGAATTATGATTTATGAAATAAAATCATGTTTAAAGAATTGATTTTGATAAATAAATTGAGGATTGATTTTTATATCATGTTTTGAATAAATTATTTATCATATTTTAAAAGGTTTAAGTTTGAAAGCATGTTGAATTAAATAAAAATGAGGTTTTAAATTATTTTATTATAAAGATTGGAATTGATTTAAGGAGGATTTATTGAGTTATTTATAAAAGCTTTACAAGCATGAGTATTATATTAATCCCACTATGCATTGAAAATTATGGACTTTGTATGACCTAGTCTTTCCTCAAGGATAGCCTTTCAACATAAAGATACTAGCTTGGGGGTGTGCACACTTAGAGAGGAATTGGGTTTTTGAAAAGAATTGATTTTTAATAATCACTATTATTGAATTATTGGAATTATATTTGAGTATATTGAGAATTGATTTTTAAATCATGAATTTTGAATTATTGAATTAATTATTAGAATTGGTTTTAAAAGCATGTTTGCTAATAAATTGAATTTACTTATCTTGCACTTATCGTACTTAGCATATTTTGCTAATCCGTATTTCCTATTTGTTTTGGTTCGTCCTGTTTGCCTTAATGGTAAGCAGTGTTGACTATTTTCAGGTGGATTCAATAAGTGAGCATTTGGGAGTCCCGGGATGTTCTTCACCTAGTTTATATTAGGAATGTTGGTCCTTGTTTATATTTTGAGTACTCATAACATTGATTACTATTTTTATCAATAAAGAAAGAGTTTGAATTTCCGCTGCGAAGTTATGGTTTTAATTAGAAGCTTGAGTAGTGATAGGCTAAAAAGTCATATCACCAAATCAAAAGTCCTAAAACCACTAACTTAAATAGATAGGGAAGTAGGGTCGAATCCATAGAGAAACAATGTTCTTTTATTTCTAATAAATTATTATAGTCTAAATTATCAAGAAACGAGTATTTTTTTGAGAATTATACTACGACAATAATTAAACTAAAGGAATAATCAATAACAAAAAAAACCTAGGGTCATAGGTTCACCAATAGATAATATTCCGGGATGAAAGACAACAATCAATTATCAATGCATAAATTAACCAAATTATAAAGGTTTCGCTACGTATTACAATCACATAATTAATTTAGCTGTATTAAATCGCATCTATCGAATCTTGAATTAACCTGCCTATTGAAATTAAGCCTAAACATCAATCCTCACATGTCGAATTTCGAATCAATATTGCATAACTCATACAATTAAACATGCGCAAATCTAATTGCATAGCATTATAATAATCCATAAGAAATTAACCCAAAACATTAACAATCAACAATAATAATTCAACTCTTCATATTATTTATGGATCTCCAAGAACCCTAGAATTAAACTACTCGTGCATAATTAAACATAAACTAAGCAAAGCGATTAAATTAAATATAATTAAAAACAATAATAAAAACTCAAAGAAAGCAATTTTAAAGAAAACTAAGAAAGGCAACAAGAATAAAACTAAGTAAAAACATTAATTAATACTAATAAAAACGAAAGTAATGAAACTACCTAATCATGAAAGTAACAAAACGAAAGATAAACTAGTACTCGTAATCGAAATCACCTAACTACTGAAAGCTATAATTCTAAAACTAATGTGCCGTAAAAGTAAAATAAAAGTCAACTTAAATCTCTAAGCTAAATGGCTAAAAGGTCTAAAGAATAAAAGATGCCCCCCTACTACTTCCGTAATTGGGTTTTTATAATTTCTCATCAACCGACATCAGTATGAGGACCTCTCGCCCGATCTGCCCGGTCAATCTGGAAATAAGCTTTGGCTTTTGTTGGGTCGTCAATTCTCCTTTTCTTGACTTGGGCTCAAATAACTCGGCCTTATATCTTTCCTTGCTTCACATGGTCCATGACTTATGATAATGATTTGGTCCGTGGTAATAATAATATTAAAACCTTTGACCTCTTATTTAATCGAGCCCTTAATCACCTAATCAAATTCCTTTGACTTGGTCTTGGGCTTTAAATATTTGGTCATAACATACGATCTGACTCTAATACTTTGTAGTGGCTCAATAAGCGCGGAAACCGTCATAAATCTGCAAATTCCTACAAAATAATATCAACTCTACAAAAACACTAGAAAACGTATATTAGTAATAAAAATAGCTCCGCAGAGCTCAAATAAGCACAAATATGACCATGAGACAGGGAATAAATATATATATATATAATAGACTCATCAAGTAGCCTTGCCTAATCACGTGGCGGTAATACGCCTAAGTCTATCTCTACAGTATAATTATACGTA